TTCTGTGTTAGTGTCCTCTGCACTTGTTATGGGTGGGCTTGGGTTCTGAGGTTGCATTTTGTTCCTTCTCGTCATTTTGTGTAGCACTGTCTTCTGACCTATGTTGTAGATCTTCATTGTAGTTATAGCCTTAGCACATAGTGAAGTTCAGGTGCAGATCTACAAAGTTTGGATTTATCCAGCTGTGCCTGGCTTGGGTTTGGCTGCTGTACTCAGCTCCTTTCTGTTGCTGCCTTTGGGGTTGAACCTGTTGTGGCCCTCTGGCAAGATTTTCTGCTCCTGTGCTAGCTGGGTGGGTCTAGCCTTTATACTCTCTGCAGGGATTGCAGCTTCAGGGATTGCAGCTGCAGGGTTTCACCCCAGACCTGTATGCCAGGCATGAGCTGAGCCTCGAGGGGACAAGGTGGAGTAGGGGGGAAAGGCAGTTCTCCCACACACTCACAGGGCCTGTGCTAAGACTGGGTCTGGGGGTTCCTGGAATGCGGCAGCAATTCCTACTTGGCGGTTGGGGTGGGGGAGGTGCTTCGGAGTGGTGGGGGGCGTCCCAAGGGGCTGGGAGAGGGTCTCACCCACGCTGCTCCTGGGCTGGGACCACTAATAGGTCCTGCTGGCACAGGGTCGCTGGAAGCTCTCCCACACACTCGCAGGCCTGGGCTAGGACTGGGTCTGGGGATTCCCAGAATGCGGCAGAAATTCCTACTCAGCATGTGGTTTGGGGGAGGTGCTGCAGAGTGGTGGGGTGGTGTCCCCAGGGGATGGAAGAGGGTCTCACCCACGCTGCTCCTGGGCTGGGACCAGTAACAGGTCCCGCTGGCGCAGGGTAGCTAGAAGCTCTCCCACACACTCACTGGGCCTGGGCTAGGTCTGGGTCTGGGGATTTTTGGAATGCGGCAGCAATTCCTACTCGGTGGGCGGGGTGGTGGAGGTGCTGCGGAGTGGTGGGAGGTGTCCCAAGGGGATGGAAGAAGCTCTCACCTACGCTGCTCCTGGGCTGGGACCAAAAATAGGTCCCACTGGCGCAGGGTAGCTGAAAGCTCTCCTACACACTCACCGGGCTTGGGCTCGGACTGGGCTCAATGTATTAATTATTGAAAGTGTCCTACTAATCGGTTTTGAAACTGTCTCATTGCTATTTGTTTCTCAATAAAATAAAAAAATAAAAAATAAAGAAAAAAGAAAAGCCCTATAGAGTTATCAAGGTTGCTTTTAAAATGATCAAATGCTTTATTTCTCCATTGGATAATTTTTGAAGTAAATTCCAGCCTCCAATCTGAATATGGATCACAAATCCACATATTTATTCTGTTCCTCTACATGCCAACTTGCCTTCCATAGGACTTTTTCATTCACACTGCCTTAACTGTGTCCTAACACAGCAAAACCAATAATGGATTGGACTTACTCATTTCTTTCCAGATTTATGATCAGTTCTCTGTTTTCCTGTTGTATTCGAACATTCAATACTTCTGGATGATCCTGAAAGATAAACAATGAGAAGTACTTGAAAACATTTGACTCTGGCTTGCCAAGATCTGGATATTCTCCATAAGGATAATCAACAGAGTGAGAGAAAAACATATTTTCTTCTTGGAAACATCCTGACATCACAAGCACAGAAGACCAGGGAAGAAATGGGAAATGTGATTGGTATTGACATTCATGGCCTTTGGTTTTTTTCCTTTGATCATGTACTGCATGGGGCCAGCTCCACTTCCCCACCCCTCCCTCACCCTTACACAATAGCTCTTTTCTTAGTCTTCTGTGTCTCTATCAAAGTCACCTTCATTTCCCTTACAGGTCATTCCAGGCACTGGAAGTCACTGTTCCAGTCTTCCTGGACAGCTCCATCGAATCCATGAATAGTCCTGGACTGTCACTATCTGAGACATGAGTGCCACTAGATCCCACATCCCTCTACCTTCCTACAGCTCAAACCAGTCTTTCACCTGGGTTACTGCATAACCCTTCCTATCCAGGTTCCTGTCTACCTTGCTTTCTGCTCATTCTATTCTCCAATGACAGGGGAAGGCTACCTTTAAAAACACTTGATCCATTCACCCTTGCTAAAAGTTAGCATACACTGGCTTCCCACTACACTGATCAGATGTCAGCTCTTCAGTGTGGCCCACAGCATCCCACACCTGTGGGCTAACCCTCAGCAGCCTCCACACACCCCTACATTGTTGTCCCCCATTCACCTGTTGCTGGCCCACCTGGCCCTGCCAGTGCCTCACACACCTTGAGCTATCACATGTCTCTGAGTCTCTGCATATGCTGGGATCTACTTGAAAGCCACCAATTAAAAGCAGCCTCATCTTATCCCCCCAACCTTACCTTGTACTCTGCCCCAGTTGTTCATTCAGCCTCCTGTCCTTTCCTTCCAAGAAAGCACATCTGTCCTACTTGTAATAATACAGTATATGGATTTGTGTATGTTAATTATATCCATGAAGTTGCCCAGCAAATAATAGAAATTCAATTAATGTGGATGAGGGAAGGAATAGATCAATCAGGGACTAGGGCAAACAGGTCTAGCAGCCTCTTTCCCCTTGGGTGTCAGATGCCCTCCTCTCCTCTCCTTTCTTCTGGATCCCAAGAAAATTAATCTATGCATGACCATTTTTGAGTAGGAAAAGGTGCCTGTTTTTGTTTTGCCCCAGAAGCCCTGCGTTTCACGCCCTTCTTTACAAATGTCCCCACACCACAACTTCCCTTAACTCCCCAGCCTGCCCAGTGTCTCTCTTGCCTGAGCCAGGGTAGTGAGCCATCCTTGCCTTCCAGGGACCTATGTCATTGCCCTGGGGTCCTCAGCAAGGACAAAGGGGGTTTGCCATCCCAACTCTACTCTTTAAAGGCCCTCTCGCTGCTTTTCTTTGTATGTCCTCAAGTGATTCTGGGGACCCGGGGTCAAATCTTCTGTCTGTTCCTTCTCTTCAGTAGGGCTCCCACATATCCAATGGGGGCTTGCCCATGAATAGAATTAAAAATCTTAACGTAAACCTCAAATAATTAATGCTGCTTTTCATGCTACGACACTTGAAGTCAGTGAGCCCAGCACATCTGGGCGTGGAGCCATTGCTTCTTAGTTCAGGGGCACTACCCAGGCTGGCATGGAAAGAACAGGAATGGTTCAGTTATAAATGACTCAGCCAGTCTGAGAGAGGGCCAGATGGCACTGCAGCCCTGGGTATAAATGAAGGTTTCTTGGTGGCTTAAGAAAAATGGAGGGGGAGATAGACTGTCTCACAGAACAGGCAGAGAAAACCAATACAAATGAAGTTAGCTCTAATTTAACCATTTTGTGCTTATAGATAAGAGCTATGAGACTATGAAGTTTCTCTATAGTTTTCTAATATTCTCTATTTGAAGGTACAGCTCAAGATGTTCAAAATATACCATTACAATCATATCACAAATTAACTAAGCCTGTGTTACCATATTTTAAGAGAAAATAAACTATAGATTCCAAATATCCAATATTAAAATATTTAGTTTAAAAGAAAGCAAAAAAAAAAAATTAAAGGTCATAACAACAGAAAGGTCAGAAAAGTTTTTCAAAAGTAAGAAAATGTACATTAATTGGTGCATATTACTGGGGTAGAGTCATAAAGGCTCAAAGGCTATTTGATTTGTTTTCAGGGTAATGCTTTGGTATGTTTTGTAGTTCTTTCTGTGACTAATGTTGTAGCCATTAGCTATCTGTAGCTAATTCAATTTAAGCCAATTAAAATAAAATTGAAAAATCAGTTGTACTTGATCTATTTCAAAACTCAATAGCTACCTGCTGCTGGTGGCCAGCACAGATATGGGTCTTGCAGGAAGCTCTACTGCTCAGCTTTGCAGAAGCAATGATGACTTAAAGCTGGCAGTGTAGTTGTTGCCTGAGTAATAGATTTTTTTTTAAATTGGAGCCTCCTGAGAACAATAGCTGAACAATTTATGAGTTTCCTATAAACATGCCTAGAGGAGGGTCTAGGCATTATTATCTATACATCTATTATTTGCTATATAACTTTTTGATATTATAACTGTTTAAAATAATATCCTCTTCATTAGCAAACTATATTATTTTAGAAAATTACTAAAGATTAAGAGTCAAACTGGTAATTTTTAAAAAAATGTATTTGGTACAGGGTCTCCTATGCAGCTCAGACTTGTAGCGATCCTCCTGTTTTCAGTCTCCCCAGCACTGGGATTACAGGAGTGGGCCACCAGGCCTGGGCTCAGTCGCCAGTTCAGCATGCCTGGGGCAGGGCTGGCATGGCATGAGGTACCGGGAATCAAACCCTGGCCCCTGCACTTGCCTAAGCAGGTGCTTAGTCCACTGAGCTATCTGGCTGTGTCCAAACTAGCAAATTTCTAAACATAAGAAATGTTTGCACATTTTATGGGCTTAAACAGGGTTTGTTTTTTATGGATTCATAGTAGCAAAAGTCTATACAAACACACTTCTTAATTTATGTATTTTGAAACCAGTATTTATGATTGATTGGGTTTCTGAGTGTTTGCTGAATTTTAAGAATATTTCTATTCAATCCTAAATAACAAACTTATATACCACTTGCCACTTTTTTGTATTGAATCTAAGGCCTCTCCATTGAGATATGCTTCCATTCCTCTTCTCTTTTGTTAAATTTTGGAACAAGATCTCACTAAGCTACCGAGGCTGCACTGGAACTTGCAGCTTTCCTACCTCAGCCCCCCAGAGTTCTAACATTGCAGAGGCACACCAATTTGATCTGCTTGTATCATTTCTTTCATATCTCAGTATGTAAAAGTGTTTTGGTTCTGTGTCTTGGGACTTTTATTTACATCGGCTTATGCTTTCTGACACTTGGATTTAATTACAAATACTTGGACAACATTTTCTCCAGGGTTTACATTATGTACTCATTCATTATCTCTTAGAAGGACAAAATTATTATATTTACAATTAAAATAATAAAACAAAGTTTCAATATTCTGTCAAGATATATCCAAACACCATATGTATGTAACTTTGTGTGTGTATACTTAGTTGTTTTATAAATGTACACATACAAATATACTGAGTTACCATAGTTACAAATTATGTTTACCTAACATTGATATATCCATCACCTTCTTAAAGAGAAATCCTATTTGGTACTAGGAATCAAACTCGGGACCTTGTGCTTGCCAGGCAGGCACCGTACCATTGAGCTATATCTTTGGCCCTTAAAGAGAAATCCTGACAACAGTATTTATAAATAGAAATAAAGCACTATGGATATAGCTCGTGCTTAATGAGCATGGGCAAGACTCTGGGTTTAACGCTCAGCTAACTAAATAAATAATAGCTAGCCAGCAGCATCACTTTCCCCCATAATTAAGCTAGCTTAAATATCCATGTTTGCACTAATTATCAAATACCTACAAGAGCTGTTATAACACTGCCGTGTCAACATTTTGCAAAAGAATGTATTTCCTCCAGAGAGGTGAAAAAAATCCTTGTGTGACGATCTGGACGGTAGAGGAGAAATCCAAAGGAGAGATAGAATAGAGAGTCATTTTAACTCAATACCACTAATTGCACTAGACTTTATAGTTTAAATGCACGAATTCAATCCATTGCTTTTTTCTGTTACCCACTGGAGATAATGAATTAACGCTGATGAAACACAGTACTCCTTGCTTTAAAAATAAAATATTGATTACATTAATGGAACGATGACTTTCGATGAATATTTAGAGCACTGCATTTCCTGAGTAAATCAAGTAAATGCTAACCAACAGGCCAGAAGTGTATGGAGAGTAATTATAACACTATGTTTTAAATTGAGGAAAGTACATCCAAACAAGTACATAAAATGCTTCAGTGTGATTTAAGAAAAACCAACAAAATAAATACAACCCCCTTCCAAAAATGTATGCTGTTACCATCCTCTTAGATCGCCGTATTAGTTTTCTAGGGCAGTCGTAACAAGTGCTACAGAAGGGATTGCTCAAAAAATAGAGATTCATTTTCTCGGTGTGCTAGAGGCTTAAGTCCAAGCTCAAGTCTGGTTTCCTCTGAGGTGGTCCCTCCTGGGTCTTAGATGGCTGCATTCTTGCTGTGTCTTCACATGGTCTTTGGAATGCCTGAGTCCCAAACTTATAAGGACACCAACCATATTGGATTGGCCCCACCCATATGACCTCATTTTTCCTTAATTACCTCTTTCAAGTCCCTTTCTTCAACACGTCCACATTCTAAGGTGTTGGAGGTTAGGACTCCAGCACACAGGTCTGGGTCTGAGGGAGGCAATTTAGGCCAGAACACATCTGCATTCCGAATTCTTCTTATTCCCCCCAGAGGCAGCCATTATCCTGACCTTCCTGTTAGTCATTATCCTGATTTCCTCTGTAGTCTTATTCCAAGTTTATGTATTCCTCAGCAACAGACTGTTTAATTTTACCTAGTTTTGAGCATCATACTTTTTCTGTCCTCCTATGACTGGATTGTGTTCTTTTACTTA